GTAGGGAAGGTTGGGGGTCCCAGGACCCCTTTAGCTACAGATGAACTCACGTCCCTCAAACCCCAAGCATTTTGACCATTTCATGCTTTTAGGCTGTTTAATTTTTAGTTCTATATTATTTATAATCTTTGGTGGTCCATTGATTATAGACATAAACAACTATTTAAAGAGAAGCATAAAAATAAACCTATTAAGTTGTCTAAAGATGATTGTTGCCAGATTCTTGCATTTATCCAATCAAAATTTATACACAGCACATCCAGATGTCACTAAGACTGCAAAGCTACAGCTAGAAAAAAGAAAAAAAAAGTGGACGTGTTGATCATACTTCATTTGGCTTTTCATGTACCGAGAATAAAGCCAGCCCACTCTCCCCGGTATCATTTGTGAAAACTGCTTGCAAACAGCAGTCTGAACATTTAATCTCATCATTTAGAAACAAAACATAAACATTAGAAAGAAAAAATAAACCTGTTGGATTTTAAAAAGTATTACTGTTATTTTATTTTATTTTTGGCCAAGGCTCGAGACTTGCAGGATCTTAGTTCCCTGACCAGGGATCAAACCCGGGCCGCCTGTGGTGGAAGCGCAGAGTCCTAACCATTGGACGTCCAGGAAAGTCTAAAAAGTATTATGAAGTATTTCAGACATACATTTCCAATGTTAGGACACACAGATTCAGCTTCTTCTTTGGATTGCATTGAATTCCACCTTGTGGATATACCATATATGTAACCATTCATCCTGTCATATACTGGAGTGCAACTGCTGGGGCCAAGGGTGTGTTTGAATGTGTGTGCGTGTACTATGACCAAAGTGCCTTCCCAAGAGGTTAGCCCTGTTTACGTTCCCACCAGCAGGAGTGATGGTTCCATTTCCCCTCACCTCTAAATATTAATAAATTTCTTAATTTTTACCAATCTGATGAGTGAAACTTGACCTCTCAGTCATACTTTAACTTACATTTCACTAGTTTTGCATAGTTTTATTTTTTGTGGACCATTTGTTTTTCTTCTGATAAAAGTCATGCCCATTTTTATATTGGGTTTTCTGTTCTTTAGTTGACTTGTGGAAGTTCTTTATATCTTCTGGATTTTACTAATTTGTTATACATGTTGCAAGTATTTTCTCCTCATCCATCTCTCTATCTGCCTCTCTTTTTACTTTGTGTATAGTGTCTTTTTACTTTGTATATAGTGTCCTTTCACTTTGTGTATACTATTCTGTTTTCTCTTTTTGTGTATATAACATAAAAATTACCACTTTAACCATTTTAAGTGTACAGTAATTCAGTGGCATTAATTAAATTCACAGTGTTGCACAGCCATCACCACTATTTCCAAAACTGTTTCATCATCTCAAACAAATTCTGTAAACATTATGTAATAACTACCTATTTCCTCTACACAGCCCCAGTAACCTCTAATCTACATTGTCTCCATGAATTTGAGTATTCTATATATTTTATATAAGTGGAATCA